TAGTGTATATTCGAAAACTCTTTAAGGATTTGAATTAATGAATGTTTTTACTTCTTTTTTGTTTGTTTATTACAGAAATCTCCCAATAAAATCTCAGGATGGAGGCCGCGGCTATACAGATTATGGAAAGGTGAGTGGCGAACCACTCACTTACATTTCGTATGCGTTATCACTCTAACACCTGATTCATACCGCAGTTGACCAAACTTGTCAATTCACGTTTGTTTAGATATACTTCGGTAAGGTTACCACCAGGCCACCAACATTCAGAGGCTTTCCACCACATCAGCCCTTCCATGCTAGTCTAAACTAGTCTGAACCAATGTTATATATATTCCACACCAGTTTCTCCGATAAAGTGNCTTTCAGACGGGTTTTGATATTAACGTGACGCTATGGTGCACTTGAGAAATCAGTCGGACAAAATATCTGGCTTATTTTTTACCGTTACTCATATTCGGGCAAAACACTTAAGTTCCTCTTGTTAAACTTTTGGACCAAGTGTTGGTTTTCAGGGATAAATTGCTATATCTTTTATGTTTGGAACGCTCAGATCAGCTGAAGAAAACAGTGACCGGAGTCTATCCGGATTGTCAATTTTTCCACTAAAATAGAAAAACAACCGGTGTGTTTTGGTCAACACGTAAAAAAGGAAAGCGAGGTTGAAGATTTGCTTTATAAAGTCACAGGTAATCACACAATTAGTACAAAGTTTGAGAGAGTGAGAGAGAAAGAACCACAGCGCAAACACACTCCATTTAGAGGATTCTCATCCAGAGCACATGGATACCGTCTGTAATGCAAAAGGAAAAACAATTACAATAAATTTTTACTCAACAGACAGCAACCAGTGATAAAAATAGAAAACAAAACAAAAGTGATACTTTTCATTTCATTTCCGTATATTTGTCAGCCTACACATAGTACTGGTCAGGTGCAAGATAGCGGTGAATAACAAGTCCCTGATGGCTAGAGATGGATGCAATGGCAGGGGCGTGGTTCAAACATGTAAAATTATTTTCCTAATTATAACCCGGATCAACTTCACCTTGAAATATCCCGCTTTCTTTCGACGGTTCAGTGAATATCCTGCGCCTGCAGCATTTGATAATTATTTTTTCTTACAAAGTTCATTAAATTATTTACATGTTGAATTCATCAGCTAACCTAACGAATCGTAACAAAGCAAATCCGATTCTTTCTTCACTAACTTTAGCCAGTTAGAAAAAGACTTTTAATTAATTTTTTGAAACGGCGATCATGTTATTGGATCTTGGAACTACATGTAATGGAAGATTTCAACTGATGATTCCGACTTACCTAGCGTCACACACTCATTCACGGAATGTTTGCCACAGCCAACATGGCCGCCAGTAGATTACTCAGTGCTGCATGACATTCTGAACGAATAAATGAAAATAGGTGTTTATTAGTGATGGGTTTTTACATTGTATTGAACAGAACATGTATTCCCGCACTATTCACACATACAATTGAGAGACCCAACATTGAGTGATCAAATTTCAAGTATCTTAACTACAAACAAAAAGCATCGACAATCCAGTTGTGCATCTCTCGTCTTGGCTCCCTAAAAATTGTTTCAGTCGCTACAACTGCAATTATGTTGATAACGACATGAATGATTTTTATTGATGCGTCGTTCGTTTTGGGATGATCTAGAGGACCTCTGTATGTGTTTGTGCGTATGCGTCTCACCAGACAAGAATGTTGTTAAAATAGGACAATAAAAACCCGCCATAGCGGACTACACAGTCATTGAATTACGACTCTCCTCGGACTCAAGAATTGTAGTCTTAGAATCGTATAGACGGTCAAAGTCAATGGTGTGAAGATTTTAGCTCACACTAAGCTTGCCAGTTCATGTAATTTGAGGCTGTTATAACATTCGAATTGAGCTTGTGATAATGATGATGTATCTACTGTGGTAGAGAAGGAAGAGTAGGAATTCAAAGGCGATAAAGAATAAAAATATGAATAAGGATGCAATCAACTCAACCAAACAAATAAATAGTGCACAATAGAAACTGATAGGGTCAAAAACGTTAGTGTGACTTGTGACGCTGAAATGTGTGATCATTTTATCCCTACAAACTGTATCTATTGGAAATGGAGTTGGCATTAACCTCGTTCGATACCTAATGATTAGCACAGTGTAAAAGCAGTTAACAGTACAATGTGAACACTGAGAAACTGCTTACCGCTGTTGATCACAGCCACTTTATTCTGGATGGATTGGAACTTCTGTTTGGATGCTAAAATTTGAAATAAACTTAAAATTAAAAACAGGTATTTTGGTATGCAGAATTCAAAGTGTTATCCAGGTAAGCCAGAAACATTTACTGTAGAGCATAAATAAAGCGGAATAATTGCGTTTTTTGTTATTTTATCACCCCTGTATGGTGTTTGCTTGACTCACATTCTTTGTAAACACCGGGGTTGTACAACATTCTTTGGAAGGCTGGAAAATGGAGGAAATTGACAAAAAATGTGAATGCCAGATTTTGCGCTCCTCAGAATTCGACTGCCTGTTCTTAACTATGATCAGTCAAAACAAAGAGGTGATTTCGTGATATGGCAGTACCGAATAACAGATTGCGGTAGGTATACCTGGTTTTTAATTTTCTCAGATACACGCGACTGAAGAATATCTTGATTTAATAACAAATACAGCAATGAAGAAAATTATCAAACAACAATGAAATGCGATTAACACATTGAATTTCACAGGCTTACTCACCTTGGTTGACACCCTCAATAGCAGCTAAAATTTGAAGCAACGGTAGATGAAGACAGAATTAATGCTCATTCCTCCGGGGTGAAGTGGGAAGGGAAAGCAAAGAAAGCACTGTCGATTTTGTCATCCATCTATAGTCCGTATGAACACCCAGTTAACTCCACCTTGTTATTTGCTACGACATTAAAAACATCGAGCACTACCAGTTGAACTGTGAAACGATATGTTTGCAATCAAACAGTTTGTAAATGATGCACATGTGATCAGCACTTCTTCTTAATGCTTCTCTTCTACATCTCAGTGTGTTCTAGAATCAGAATTCACATTTTCGAAATTTTTATTGTACATTCCTGAAACCTGAAGTAACAACCGACAATTAAGTCTTCATACCGACTAAAATAATAATGCGGCGCAATCGAAATTTAAATTTTAAAATAGTTTATCCATCGTTTTGTTTGTGGATTAAACAGTTTTGTATTTAATTCTCAGATGGAGTGGATGCTACGCCCACCCCAATTCTGTCCCGGGGAGGAGGATTGGCGCCGCCATTGGTGTTGGTGGAATGCAAACACATAAGCTCTGGACCGATTTAATGATGACATTTGCTACGTCACCACAGCAGCACATTGATGTCACTGTTCAATTGGAGCCATTCTACTTATAGCCGGATATTGTGTCACATTTACGTGCGACAAGTGAAGCCGGAACTGTTTTTAACTGGAAATAATTTTAAAAAGTTTGCTTTGTCTTTGTCGAAGATGATCAACGTAGTTCGTAAATATTTACTGACCTGTATCATCTGATTTCAGTTGATGCGGCATTGATGTGAGCACGATCAGCAACTCCTTCTCCGCTGTGAAAGTCAATCGAGAGTGTAACAGCAGTTGTTATCACAACAAGAGATAGATTCTCAATTCCAAAGCAAATAACTCTATTAAAATGACCATCTTTTCAACTGTGAGTTATTAGTCAAACGAATGCTCTATGAAGCGTTGACTTTTCGAACTCATAGATAACATGAGAAGTTAACAGGTGAACAAATGAAACACGTCAGATAGAGTAAAAATTACATTAAGGTGTAGAAATGTCGATATTTTACTTTCGTGATCACGAATCTAGTCAGACTCGTTTGTTTCTTCACCCGCACAGGTAGGTATTTGCTTACCTGTTATCACGTTCTTTGCTGCGATAACCTTGGCTTTCTCAATCGCTGAAAGAATATGTACAAAGGTGCATGTTAAATACTTTTGCTTAGACAGTTGTTCAATCATGACGTTTAACTGTCTGCTTGGAATAAAAGTATCAAATACACCATAGAAAGGACTCGGTCGGAACTTTTCAGAATCTTGAATAAAAATAACGTCATCAGCATTGTTGTGCACGAGAAAACACGGCTACTTCGCACTTAACGTATACATAAAAACGGATTACTGTGAATGATCGATTTACTATCAATACTTTTAGTGTTTTTCGTACATCGAATTTTAGGACAATCAATAACAGAAAACGAGATGACAATTTTCTGTTTCTTGATCACAGAAAAGCAGATCCAACTGAAAGCCCTGATTTTCGAACCTCGTAGAAATATAAACGTCTAGAAATCGTCTCAAGCTGACGACAGAGTTTGCCTACACATTAGTTTAAGAAGCAGAACAGCTGGAATGAAATTTAGCCCCGTAAAGTTGAATTTTAGAAGCTTAGTCCTAATAGTTTAGTTATACGTTATTGTTAATTTTCAATTAAATATGTATATCGTAGATATTTGTCTCAAACGGCTACGCTCAGCCAGATTTGAAACTGTTACACGTGTTGTGCAGTTTTTATTGCGGAGCATGCTTCTATTCTCTTCGAAAGCAGAGCCATGTCATTTGGGTGGGGAAAACGGTAGTAAAGGGTATGCAAATTTCGGCTAAATCGACTCAACCCAATTGAAAAGTTTCATTGGTATACTTACCTTTTGATGGATCAATGAAATTGTTCATGAGTACTTGAATAACTTCAAACATTTCTGTAATATGAAAATAGTTTGAACAGATTGGAGTAATGGGACGGGAAGCATATTAAGATTAGTCATCAGAAGAACGGTCTTCTAACGAACACATCCTAACAGATTGTTTTCATAACATAAAACGAGACAAACAGCTGACGTGATTATTTTTCTCCTGTTTTCACCTATTAGCAAAACACAGCCAAATCACCCTATGCAGTTTATACCATGCACAGAGAGCATAAATTTCAGTTAATAACTTGATCTTTCCGTGTACGACTGAGCATGCACAATGGTCTCGGTGATTAAAATAGGAAAAGAACAAGGTTGTCTCGTTTGTCCTTCATTGGTAATTGTAAGATTTGTTGAATGGTATTTCGTTTATGCAAAAGTTTAATAGTTTTCTGAAAAGAGTTGTCAAATAAAAGAATCGCATCATCTTCCGTAGAGCGATGAACTTATTCCGTTTGTTCTCGATATTTACCAAAAGGGGTCTCAGTAGGTTCACCATAGCAACATCATCAATCTGGAAATTTGAACCACTTTAGAATCCTTAGTATATCGTGAAATGGCGTCTTGTTTTGTTTATCACTGGAAGGATCATATTGATGTCTTGGTTAAATAGGATCACAAACAAAATAGCAAGCTGATCAATAGCGTTAGTGCTGAATACATTTCTAGGGTGTAGGCTAGCTCAAACTTATATTCACGACCGGTTTTTTTAATCTGATTAACTACTAGGATAGCTGATTTGCAAGTGATTTGCTCACGCACAAGATGGGTCTCAACAAACAAATATTTTACTGCGGACAACTTCCAACTTTTCGATGGAAGACCAATCGCCATTTAGCAAAACGTTCTTCAGGTTTTTGCAAAATACAGTGTCAAAATCTTTTTTTTCATGACGTACGTTTGGAGAATTGTATCACGAAGCAATCATGGTTAGCTAAAACACGGAGGTGGGAAGTACACATCAATTCAGTCATGTATTAAATCAGCTACACAAATCATGAAGGACTGTCAATAATGTTAATAATAATATGTACGACGATACGTTGCATCGCACCAGGTTGAAAACGGGTAATACCAGCTATTGTAGTCAATAGAGGAGATATGGGAAGGGATCATTTGTCAACATTCTGCTGATGAAGAGCCACATGACTGAGCTCAAATGATTTATCCGGAAAATGCAACCGAGCTGTGTAATTACTGCCGAAATTTTATGAATTGACTAGAGATACAAACATGATTCCGAGGTTACTCGCTCGCTATATGCGATGCTCGACTCACCACAAACTGAGAAACTCAAATTCATCAGTCATCCGAATAACTGTGATCATCACGAGACGAGTCTTGTAGAAACAATCAAGTAACCACTAGCACGGTACAAACTTCAATCAACCTTTTATTCTTGCATCAGTTTTGATGACTCGCTTGTTGATCCCTCATCCCTCCCTCCGTATACTGTACTGGGCCAAAAGAGAACAGCTCGTAATACATTGGAACTGACCACAGACAGAAAAAGCTAACCGAATTCGGAGTATTCTTAGTGTGCTTATAAACATATTAAAACACATAAGTGGGATGTTTTGAGAATGCTCATGTCACAAAAGGGAACTATAGGTAGCACCTATTGAGCTAATTTAGATTCTTTGTTTATAACTGAAACATAAGTCAAGCCGGACAGGCAAGAAGGGCCACCGAAGGCCAAGTTAATCTGCTCGAAACCCAACTCTAGAAACTGATAATAAAATGGAAATCCTTTGTAAGGCCAGCCTCAAACTTCGCGCGGAAACAAAAGTGTAACAACGCTAATAAGTTTGGTTGGATTTCTGTTTATACTGTCCATTAGGTGAGTTATTTCACATTAAAATCCACGTCTTTAGCCGAACGTGCAGCAAATTAAAAGCCCAAAAGGTGGGGTAGAAGTCCGCGGGAGACGAGAATACCGTAACTTCTTGGTCCAGCTACGCAGATCTTCTAACAGTATGATAATCAAAAAAGTCATTCATGGTGAACCGTGCAGGGCTTACCACAAGATCGGATTCGTCGTCGATATAGTATGTCCCAGGCTGTCTTCAGAGCTGTAATCAGATGTAATCAAATTAATTGTGATATAGAATTTCAGGTAAAGCACCCAATGAAAAGAAAGTTCAAAATCATCAGACAATCTATTCGGAAACCGTATAACATCAATTCAGCAACCAACCTTTGATCATGTCAACCTTCGCTGAATTTATTGCTGCAAGGGAATCGGCTGAAATATAAACAGAGCAATACATAAATGAAAACTAAACTAACCACAGTGAATCAATTATTTTGTAAATCAGTAGACCCGTTGGAACATTGGCAACCAGCCGTTTGCAGTCTGTTTGAAAGGTATATGAATATAATCGGTTTTGAAAACAGATAGCATCGGCTTTGGGTAATAAAACTGGTAGTGACCCAAACATTTACGAACACGTTCTCGGTTTTGTTACGTCATCGAGTCAAACACCGACTAAGGATACCCGAGGCATTATTGATCGCTCACAACAAACCCACACAGTGCATCCAAAAACGTATGACCTTTACCCTTACCTTCCCTGGCTGTAACTAATCACGTGCATCACACACTGTACACAATCACACACACATACACATACATGGGTAATACTAACTAGATTTCTTAATTCGCTTCATTTGTCCATCTTGTTCGATGTTATACGTATGCGACCGATGAGAGTATATGAAAGGAATTCCTCTCGCAGTGTTTGTCTTCTGACTTGCCTGTTCAAATTCATTACGGAATCCAAATGTTTCAATTTAATTTACAATTAATTTGGTCCATCTATGTTCCCCCTTTGACAAAATTGCTGACAATCATGGAGGCGCCAAGTATCTGATTCGTTTCTTGTTTATAAAACGGGACTGTATTATTATTGTTACAATTATTATTATTATTATTATTATTTTCATGTAACTTGGGTGCATTCGTCAACTGTCATTGGATTATCAGGTGTTGCCAATGCATTTTCTTTCTATTATCACTAACAATTACAAGGTTAAATCAACTGAAAGTGTTTTTTATTAACTACCCATGCTGAACCTCCTACGCTGTTCATGATCCATTATCGAGTGCGACGGGAAAATTTGGGGTTTCAATTTGCTTTCTACCCGCGGTCAAAACAAAGCAAGTGAAGAGAAAATATTGGACACGGAAAATGTAAGAATGCTCCAATGATAGAAAGTGTAGTGAATTTGCAAACAGTTCATCCTGACCAGTTCAAACTCACCGTTGAGTGTTTTTCCGTAAATAACTGACATTTTCTGAGCTGCATTGGTCATTGCTAGAAAAGAAGCAAGCGAATGGAACTGATAAGCCAGCTACATATTTTATCAAATTGCTTGGAGTAGGCAGCTATTTGGTTCTAACAAATTAAACAGATCTATAGAATTCATGTATTCTGTTCTAGAATGCACCATACGCGCAATTTTCTCACCTCGAACCAATGGTCGGAAGTTAGCTGTAATAGGATGCAATATTTGTTGATCAGTTGTACAAAAACAACGCAAGCTGTAATTACTAACAAAGTTTTCAATTTTCGGAAGACAACCGCTGCCTACGCATAAGTTTTATGTGCGTGATGTTTCACCCGACGAAGGGCAAAGGTCATGTTGTGGACGGAACAAAAATGGTATACTATGTTAATTATCACCCGAATAATATAAAACAAGCACGCATCTGCTAAAACCTGGAAATTTGCGAATTCGTGCCAAAGAGAGACGGAAATATGGGAATTGACATCCTCTATATCAGATATTCTCTGGATGTAATGGTGTTAACGGTACTCATTTTGCACTCACAAAATTGTCCTCTTGGCATGCAACGTTTAGAACATGACGGCGTTTCAACTATTTCCTTGAGTACTGAAATCAAGATTTGAAAAACACAATATTGTATACTTTACCAAGTGTTCTGATAATAAGACAAATAAACTTGGAAAACGTCTGCTACGTAACATATATGTACTGCTCTCAGTTGAAGAGAAATACCAGCAAATGAGTTGTGCATTTTAGATGAGCCCAAAAGAGAGTCAACTGAATTCAATCCTAGAAACATACTTTCTGCAAGCGCAGTTTGTTCGCTGATGGAACTGATAGTATCTGAAATATTGAAAAAATCATTATTCTAGCTATTTCTATTNTATTCCTGAAAATCAAACTCCGCAACTTTTCTAATGTACAGGGTAATCTCATTTGAACTGATTCAAGATCAATAACAATTTATTGAGTATTTCGAGGCAACTCATTATCTATGCTTTTCATTCTGTTAAAACGGTGGATCTATGATACAAAATGCGCTTTTTCCAGATAAAATAAAAGGTGAGAATTGTATTCTGTAATGCCTAAATACATTGAGTTTGCAATATCTATACACGATGCCTGAGTTGAGCAAACTCGGAGAGATATTTGTTCCGCTTTAGTAAACCACATCAAAGGTGTGTGACTAGTTCAGATATACGAGAGAAAATAAATAAACTTTGGAACCAAAATTCCATACTTTTGGTACGCTTACCGTCCTTGATCTTTGATAGGGATTCTTGTAGCATTTTCACTCCTTTGGGATGAAAAATAAAGTAAAACAGTTTATCCAATGTCCAGTACGTATCGTCAATTCCGCAAAATTTTTTTTTTTTCCTCAATTTTTACAGCCAGGCTGATTATCCAATAAAGCAAATTGAACATATTAGGCATTTTTCCCATAGCGATCAAAGAAAGATGAGAAAGCGGATACAACTGTTTGTATTAGCTCTCCCTAGCTAGCTTTGCATTGTAAAATCTAATGTTTGAACCCTGCTACGCACATCTTGTTGTTACGCCCATTCTTTATACAAATCACCAATCCCAATCCGAAAGTTTGAATTTTAGGATTTGACTGATGCATCCTGCGATCTTCTTTCAAGTACATTGATTTTTTAATTTGCGTACATAAACGTAAGAAAAGTCCCTCTATTTCGGACAAACGAACTAAGATCGACACAATATTAAGTAAAAATATATTTCATATTTTGAAATGTAGGTAGAATGCAAAAAAGTATTTCTATTTTATTTTAATAAACAATTAAAGATTAAAATGCTTTAAAATGCCAGGAACTACCTGTATCGGCTTCAACATCTTCTGGACTGTCAAAGCGAGCCAGCTCCAAGTCTCGAACCGCAACTGTTTTGAAAGAATGATAAGCAAGAAACGGTCATAGCGTGGTCATTTGGATGGTATCAGAACGTTAAAAAAATAATTTTCGTCCAAAATCTCCTATTAGGGCACGAATTTCAATAATACTTTGCCGAAACATTACTTACATTCCTCGGTTAACCGGACCAGATTCAGAAGGTTATTCAGCACCGCGTCAGTCATAACTGTATTGGAAGGAAGTTTAAGGGGTAGATTGGACGTAATAATAGTAATCTGGTATCAAGAATGAAAGTGATTTGAAATAAGACTGACAAACAGTAAAAGTTTGAACACTTCTAATAAATGAGAGAAGGATGTAAAATAAAAACACTCCAGCAAACCGATGCAATTGGTTTACACGACGTTCCAATCAGCTTTATTGTAGCCTCATCTCAGGTACCCTATTAGATCTTCATAGAACTAGTGGTGTTCATTTGTTTGCCATACCTCTAACAATTATATTCCAATGATAGGTTCCGGAAGCTTTTCTTCTCACAGCCTGATTGCATTTAAAAAAGCACTTAATAAATATGTAATACCTTACCCAATTTTCAAAATACACGATCAGGAAAAAATGGAATAGAATGATTCTAATTTGCATAGGCAAAAATAAATTCTTACCACTTGATTTCCGCATTTCAGTTGATAGCATGGACAGGGCTTTTTGGGTTATAAGGTGCAAATCTAAAATAGATGTGGGTGGGGAAGTTTGATGATTGATGATTGGATTACACAATTCACTGATCTTATGTTCCACTGAATATGTAATTGTCAGCTAGAGATGAGGTCGTATAGTATTTAAATAAATTATACCTTTTGCGATAGGTTTTAGTGAAGCTGGCAATCAAAATAACCCTAAAAGAAACTCACTGTTTAGCTTATGCGAGAAGTATTTTGACGTGTATGCCTAATCATTCGACTTTATTTGAGGCAGAACAGAACGTGAAACCAAAGGTAAATCATGTTCTTTGATTAATAAAATGCATGCTTATGAATGACTTAAAAAGAACTTTTCCTTCAATCTGTGGTTTGTTTGCAGTACCTTATCAGATTCTGTTTAGACCAAGAGATTGAACAAAAATGAATTATGAGGCTGAACATGCAATACTTTGGTCCGTTGCACCGAATTACTCATTCGCATCCCTTCATATACTCTAAACATAATGGAACTCAAACACTGAACGTCACCACTACCACCACCACAAGGCTTGGGAGCTAGCGGATTCAAACCTCCTTTAGACTGATAAATTTTTATTCTTTTATTATCTTGCCGCAACCCATAGATTTGCCGCTTCCTCTTATCTGGATATTAGCTTTTGAAATTATGCACTTAATGGAAATAGCAACAAAAGAAGAAAGAAAAAATATATGTAAATTGCTTCATTGGCGAGTCATGAATTATCAATCAAAACTGTGAGGCAGTCTATTTCAGTGAATAAAAAGATTCAGAGCAATTTTACACCACAAACGCTGAATGTGGAAAATCAATTAGTGACCAAAGGTTTGCTACTCGAACACGTTCAGCAAACAAGCAAAAAACAATGCAGTCATGGCAAACCTCAAGAGAACCAAATTTTGTTTGGTAAGCAGGCAAATACATGCAAATCTTACCCAGTGCCAGTTTTCCAGCGCAATTTCCGGTTGACATGACCTTGGTGGTAACTTCAAATACTGCAGAGTAAAAAACAATGCAACCTTGATTAAGTAGATGGTGTTAGGATTATCTACAACACAACTTCAAAAAGCACAAGTTATGCAAATCTTCGTAACCTTCGAGACCAGTTTAGGAAACAAAGATTCCCTGATTAGGGGTTAGTGAAACCCGAAATACATCTACTTGCTCAGTAAACATTTGATAAACCCATAAATGGTAACCAAATATATTTAGCTATTTACAAACAGCTGCACACTACAACCAGAACCTTATATACTTTGCCCACACAGTAAACCGTTGGGCTCATGCCATTCATCTCTTGAGGATTTTGGAAAAACAGAGAGGCCTCAAAGTGATTCTGTATCGGTTCGAACTTAACTTATAGAAGACCGTTGGATAAACCAAGGCTTCGAACGTGGCATCTCTGATTTTATTAGAACTGCCGTGATCGAAGCAGCCATCTAAAGTGGTTTTGTAAAACCGTATCATTTTCTGGTACAATGAAATATACGATAAGCTCATCAAGTCCTTATAATTTATTTTTCTAAGAAACCTTTCTAGCACACATGAACAAGAAAACTTACGTTGCACGTCCATCTGAATGATGTATGTCAGTTGATCCCGTAGTGTTTCTTTATTTGCTTTTCCTAGGTGATTTTGTATAAAAAATAAATAATTAATAATAATTAATTGATTAAAAATAATCAATAAAAAATCAGTGAACTATTGAATAATGAGTCATATAGGTATATGATATGTGCTTTTGGAGATTCCATGTCTTGCGTGAGTTAATTCTTAAAAAGCAGAAGATGGTGTGTGTGTGTGTGTGTACAATTGCAACTAAGGTAGGTTAAGGCTTGAAACTGCAGCTAGATGTAAAATGAATTGCCTTTTGTTACAGTAAAGTTGTATAACAACGTGAATCCCAGAGGTTAGACCACTTGATCCCCGTCTCCACTGCTATTCTGTCTCCCGACACTGAGGAACCGTATGAGGGATATCACAACAAGTCCTAGTGAACAGGATGTCAATACTCACTATCGTGATGCAGAATTTTCTGATCATAAATGTCATTCATTCTAACCATAATTATACAATGCAGGACTGTGTTTACAGGTTTGTCTTCAACTTCCAATGTTTCACAAGAATACAGAACGAAAACTTTGATAACTCACGCCCACGTAAGGCAGATGTCTCAGGGACAATTCAAACTGCGCAGTTAGGTGACTACGGATCCCAGTGTACTTTTGGAAAATTTTTACTCTTGATTTTGTAAACCACTCACAAAACCGATGTGCACTGATCTAGAGCCTTCCTATTGGTGTAAAATGATGCTCTCATTCATGGATCATTTTCTTGAAATTAGAGATTTCGGTTTAAATGTACTGCAAACAAATGCACAGTGGCATTTAATAGATCTGTAATTAACATAAATAAAAGGGATCATTCCCAGACAAAAAAGAAGCCTAACTGAGTGATGGTTTTCGGTTTTCTTTTCTCGATGTTTGAAATGACTAGAAGAGTTCACAATTTTAATTTGATAATAAAAAGCACAAAAATAAGCCTCTTAAACTCACTTTCCGTTTGTCTTTCGAATGCATCCACGATACTTCCTAATAGTTCGTCTTTGTCTTTGAAAACTGTAACAGGCATGAGAATAATAGTAGGTTGCTGTAATGACAAAACCTGAAGTGACGAAATATTCAATCAATAACACGCCATGCAGTTCACTGACGTGGTTACAAAACAGCGATCGACCTTTTAATGGAATGTTTTTCTAAAGAAATCTATTGATGAAATTTATGAAGTCAGAGACTACATGTTTTTCTTAACCAGGTAAACATTTTCCAACATTTTAAATTATTCTCATCAGTGAAAACAAAGCCAAACATGCGACGAATAAAAAGCAAGCAAAATATACGAAACATTACCTAAAGCAGTCTCATGAGCGAAGTCAGTATTCTCTAAAAATAAATTGTCATGATGCGTTTTATGTGTATGCGAAAATGAAAGATACTTTTTCGTGACAAATTTTCAAGATTTCTTCATTTAGCTGAATTATGAAAGTTTAGCAGGTTCCGTGGGGCCTGGACCCACAAAAAGCCGTCGCCCACATTTATGCTTAGCGAAAGCACAAGCAGGTCACAGCTGAAAATCTATTGCTGTTCGATTTGGTTACCGTTGTGTCCATGTAATTTATATTGGTAGCCAAATGTAAAAAGTAGGAGCTGTTTGAGTATTTTATTAATAAGGATTTTGTGAAATCGATCAAATGCTTCAACGATAAGCTGGATACAATCATGCCCGTTAAAGAAAACTTCAAGCAGTGAAAGGTAACCTGGACGATGGTACACACAAATAATTCCGAACATCAGCAAAACAGTCCGTACCTAGTTGTTAGCTGGAGAGATTAAACAGTAGTCTAACTTCTAAACTCATTTGAGTATTTATCCTAAGAAACACGGATTTATTAGAAAGGCTTCGAAAAATTATGAAAACTTGTACTTTTTGAGTGATTTTCGTACAGGAAATATATGAGCGAACTAAATGTGCATACTCATTTTCACCTTGAAATACCATGCAAATAGAGCTATGGATTCAAATATCGATGTAGGAATACACGCTCCTGTCGAAATGAGAAAGATTAAACCGCAAATACACTCACCGATATCCATACGTCGATAACCACCATAGTTGTCAGTGGTGTTCAGCTTGGCTTCGTATACAAGAACTAAATTGGGAAAATGAAAGTCAAGATGGCAATTGCTTCAGAGTGGAACATGTCCTCGTAAAGATATATAAGATATACAAACTATACATTCTGAATAGTTATATTCCAGTTACGTAATGGGCTTCTCATAGTTCTTCATCGTGAATAATAAGGACAGATGGAGACTTCAAAGTTCAGTCGTTGGCAGGCTAGACTACGGACGGAGTTAGTTCATAGCGAAACGTAACCTGAGAGGTAAAAATGTACAAGTCAACTACGTAGAATGTTTGTCCTCCACAGGTTGGGTCCTGGATTTCGAGATTTGAGAAGCTCACAACACTAGGAGTAGATTTGCATATTCTTCCTTTGTGGTTTTCTAATCCTGTCAGTTTTGGTTTTTCTTATAGCAAGAAAGTTTCTTGGTTCGTAAACAACTCGTCGTCAGCTTGATGAAACCTATTATCTGCCTTAAAAACAGCATTGCTGGGATAATTTTGAGCAGCTTCAATTTAGTCCGCACCAGTTTATTCCATTCTATAACAACATATTCATCACCTTCGAATAAGAACTTACCAATAACGTTGTGCTCCACCATTGCCAAGGATGTTTTCAGTGCTATCGTGCTTGAATCTGCAAAATACAATAATAAAAATAATTATCATTTTCAAATTGTTGTTTGGCAGATTTGAAGTTTTTATGGCGATCGTGAAAAGTTCAGTAGCCTCGGTGAGATTCGAACCCACCCATGGACGCCGCCTACGCTTCTTTACTGCGCACGGTCTACGACCTGAGCTACGAGGCCATACCGAAAGCACTGGTCTTTTCACATTGAAATAATAATGATTGATTAAAATGACCGAAGTTCAGAAAACAAAATAATCATTAGTTTAAACAAGTCACTCTAAAGAATAACTCACCCTCAAAATCTTTCGTTATATCACCCAATTCTGAAAACGTTGCAAAGATGTATTGGGGTTTTGTTCAATTGAAACTTTCATCATGAATAGAATTTTACCATAGTCTAGCGGATTCAAACATTTGATTGCAGTGCAGCCCCAAGTCAAACGGTCATGCCACTTTTTTAAAGAATAAATAGGAATTCTTCCAGCAATGTTTGATATCATCCGATTTTGAGGATCAGAAAAAACTGGTGGCACCAGCCTGCTACATTTTTAGTAGATTTCTGCTAGGAAGACTATTTTTTATTCTGTTTTCAGTCCTTCGCGTGAATAAAATTCTCTGATTCTTTGATTTATCGCTCTATTTTGAATAGATGAACCAAAGGATACCGGATTTAGACGTTTGAACGAATTAAGTAGTTTGTGAAAACATCTGTGGATTACTTAAAACCTAGCGTTAGTGTCTCTATTGTCGTTGACCACAAGGAACAATTATTTTAACTGGACTCAATGCTTGACGAGAATTTTTTTTGAAGATGACAATACAATAAGCACAGTAATAGTGGAGAGGAAGAATTCTTGTCAGTTTGTTAGCAACATATCTGTCTAAGCATATAGAACATTCTATAAATATAGAGGAGCCTTATTTTACGGACTTACTGTCTAAATCCTTCTTGAAGGCAGTGACTGACGCACGATAAGCGACCTCGCTGCAGCGACCTGATAAGAACGACAGAAAAACAACATGACATTTTTCGTAGAATATTTCCTAGACCATCTTACAGTTATGTCGCATTCATCGGCATTTTAATGTTTTGAACAGTTCACAATACTCACAAGGTGATTTCAGGAAATCGGCAGTAGCCGGGGCAACTGTAATAAAAAAAAGAAAACCACATATATCATATTTATAAAGACCAACGCTTTTAAAACTGGAAGGTATAACTCTGTGATGAAAAACTCCTCAGAATGCAATCTTATTCATTACGTGTATTTGTATATGCAATTTGTGCATTCCATTGCACCGATTCTAATCTAAATTTCACCAAGATACAAAGGATAATAGCAACAAATTGCCCTGGTCAACAAACCTGTCTGATACGCCTTTAAAATAGGCAAAGATATGATTTTTATTCACAACTTGCTTACGTTGTAAGAACATCAGTGCGATATCGTCAGCCGAGCGAAGCACTTGATCGTTTGTCATTATTTCTGATAGATGGAGAGGAGGCGGGAATAAAACAAGTTTATCAATCCAATAATCAGGTATAAAAAACAGCATTGCTTGAATCAGAACATTTATATACGACATCAATCTACCATCACTTTTAGGGAGGATCAATCAGCTGCAAACAATATCTTAGAAAGACTGGTCTAGTGTTAACTTACTGGACGCAGAGCACAAGTAGTTCGTCACTTTGCTCATCAAAACACCCAGAAGTCGCACGTAAGCTGAAACGAAAATAAAAACAGTGGAGCTTGAATAAAGTAACATATACATAACTCGGGCTGCAATTCAGTTCATGAGTGATAAAACAAATAGTAATAAAATGATTGCAGGCTTTCTTGCTCACCTTGAACAGTTTTTGTTATTAGGTTTGAGGCATCTTCGCAACCTACGCAGCCACCTGGACGGAAGAGAAAATGTAGATGTAGAATGAATCGGGCCTCAGATCGAAATGGAAGCTGAAAACACTTTTCAAAGTCAGAGTTATACACATAGTAATTGGTTTTTTGTTTTTCTTTTTCCTACCTTTCATTAAATACACAATGATACAATATTCAGGAAGGGGGAAGCGACCAATCAAAGAGCTGTCATACAACACAAACCGTGGCAAGTTAGGTGGTGGTGGTGGTGGTGATGATGGTGGGATTCGAACACACGGGTTAGACGCTTCACTACGCGCAGAAACTAAAATGAATGTGTTGAACCTGTAGGTAGTTTGGAAAATCTCAGAAACTTCTTGGTTCTGCCCCATGTTCTGAACATTAGTTGTAGAAAACACTTTTCTCGCAATTTTTGTATTTGCACAAGTCGTGGAAGCAATGTGACAGGACGAGATAACCATTTCACACGGCCTACTCAATCAATAGGTTTTACAAACTTCTCCGGGTACTTCTTTGGCGTGCACTGTGCATTCACAATGTACAAGTTAACCTCACTTATCAAGGTATTGTGGCTTATTGTGCGTATAGTTTAAATAACTTTTTACGTGATATTTCATACTGAAAAACAAATAAACTCACCTGCAATGCGCATCTGATAGTCTAGAGTCTTGGAAATCCGGGCCATATTTGAAATAGCTGTGTAAAACAAAGTGAGAGTTTTGATTAAGGAGAGGATGAATTACCAAATTATGAAACTGGTCGCTTCCCAACGGTAAATCAAATTAAAAATACGTATATGATTGTTAACAAAGTGATGAAAATCGGTTATCGTTGGTCGAATGAACAAAATTTAAATTTGCAACCACTGAAATTGTCACCCCGACTGGTGATGAAATGTTTGCAAGTAAATTTCCAACCTCGGCGATCAGGCGAAATGGAGTATGTGTACGAGAATCCATGTTTCGTTCAGAAACCAGACTGATGTCGGACATGAAAGTTAGATTCACAAGCACATTAATCAGCGAGTTCTACACTGATTTATACATGTTCAATTTATATCCTTCGATATGGAAAGTAAATGATTCTTCAGACTTACTGGACATTATGGCCTCATTGATGCGGAGAACGGAACGGGCGCATGCAGCTGAAGTGACAAAAGTACAACCGTGTGATTTTAGACAGCGCATCATAAACAAATGTGCTATCAGGTTGGTTCGCTGCTAACTTCTAGGCTAGCTTGACGTCATTGGCTTGGTTATTTAGATGCACCCCTAGAATTAGGTAAAACTTTGGACATATTTCCACCTCAATGCGTACTGGATACTCTTCCGGGCGATCCATTTGATCAATAGAGATTTCTCTCATTATACTCAATTGTGAAACTGTTATATTCCAAATTATTTCCTCCTACAAATCTGAGTCGCTTTGATCTCAGTCGAATTCTGTATTTCCAAGCCAAAAATCAAATTGAAACGGTGTTTCTTATGTCTGGCTTAGCACTAAAGAATAACTAGAAACGTTTACCTACAGACTAACTTAAAATTTGGACAAACGTTTGTATTAGAGGATCTGTCTTGAAATCTTATCAGAGTAAGGCAAGTTTCTATTCGCTTTATAGACGTCCCATTTGAAGATACCTGACTGTAAACTACTTTATTTAGCGACAACGAAGTCATCTATTCATCTTCTGGTAGCAAAAACTTCAGATACTTGTACCGAGATGATACGATCAGAAGTTGATTGTCAGCGGGATTCTTTTTATATCAATTGATATTTTGGCTGAGATTCTGTATGTTCTAACATTTCTGTATTTTCAGCTGCGAAACTTTTTAACAGCGAATCAGTTGGCAAGAAATTTATTTCATCTTCCTCTCTCCCTGATTTTTAATCCACAAACAGTTACTCCCTAAGCATTGCGAAAATATGGCTACAACTTATTTGTGAATTGTCAAAATATGTTATTTAACAATCTCTGGGACCAAATTCGCTTTCGTGTTGATTATGGTTTTACCAGCCTTTCAAATATTGCTTACATGCTGTTTTGTTATTTCAACTGTGCGTAAGGCAAAGTACCAATTAATTCAAGCTTTTATTGGAGAATTGTTCGTCTCATAGATGTCATAGATATTTGTTCAAATATGCTTTTGTGGGTAAACTACATGCGTAATCATATGCACAAACTTCGTATAACGGTTTAAATTGTCAATGTGACCGAATGGAGCGTAAATGCATTAGCAATTCACTTACCTCGTCCTCCTTGGAATCGGTTCACATTCCGACCGAATAAAAGCGAATAAATTTGAGCGTCTGAAAAACACAAACAAAGATATTACTTGGTGCGAATCCTAAATGATGATGACTAAGATCATTATTTTCCGGACGTCTAGCAATGTTCTTCCGCAGGCTTTGAAATTATGTAAAATGCACACATTTTCGTTATAACAGGAAAATAGCAGTAAATAGAAACATATCTGATAAAGCCAAGTCAAATTTATGTACATGACAATGTTCCTTTCATGCTAACTCAAAACGGATTTTATTTAAGGGAAACCTAAATTATCCGTCACCGACGGAGTATTGCAATTGTCACACGTCCTCCTAGTGCTTAGATTGATCCCACATGAACTTTAACTTACACATACCTCATTAACGATTTAGAAAATCCCAATACACCTAAAGCTGGGCCCCGTTTATGTCTCCTTTTTTCAAAGAGAGCTATCAATCCAGGTGATCTGCCCCAAATATATCCGAAAAAATTGAAAACAAACATTTATTGTTCGTGATGGATTAGTCTATTTCATGGGGTAGCATCGGTGACTTACAGTTCATCAGATTATCCATAGCTGTTGCCAAATGAGGGAAAATGTGTGTTTCACGTCAGAACCGAAGACTGCAAAACATTTCTGCATTGGTATATTTTACTAGGTGGACATATAAACTGACTAGAAATAATTGCACCCACCTTTGCAAACTCGTGTGCACTGGGCTCCGCGAGACAAACGTTCTATGTAAGCGAGCACTGAAACGAAAGAGAGAATGTGGTGAGGGTTTGTGCAATCCCTTGAATGAATTCACTCAAAAACCGTGGTGAACTACTTTTCTCGAACTAAATAATACTGTGAAGTAAATCCCAAACCCAAGCTGAATCCATTGATAACTTTTTGTTGTCGAAAACGATTCCAAACAGTGAAATATTGATAAGAGCAGTAACTTACACTTTCGCGTTTCACAAGCAGCCTTTGTGAAGCACATTGGCGAAATCATTGGCGTTTCTGTAAGGAGACAATGAACATCAGAGATCAGCGTAACTGAAGTCCAATAGCAATTTCGTCTCAAGAAATCATCTTTGCAATTTCCCCATCAAAATTTACTTAGGAACGACTAACTCTCTCACTAGCCCAAAGCCATTGCGTTCAATCCAATTTGCTTGATTAACAACACATCACATGTATTAGGACTAGTCGAACAGTTATTGTAATTAACCAAATCGGGCTTATTCATCATCACCCTAGTAGCATTAATCTGATAGAGTAGTGAAACAGAACTTGTACAATAAAAACCTTGAATCATCAACATACTACACTACTTACGGCTGATTGTTGCAACAGGGAAAGCTGGACACTCTGAAAAAGGCAAAAGGAAATATTGCAGTGAAAATTATTTAGAAGGGCAAATTCATTCCTTGCGAATCTAACCATCTATTAAGTGTTTAGTTGAATTATTTGGTGATTGTGTCTCAATATATTTTACGAGGCTAAAAATTACAAACACCCAGAACTCCGAAGTGCATTTCCAATGTTTTACTCGTCCAGTCAACCTGCATTGCCTGAGTAATTAAGTGGTTGGTTGTCTCAGTAAACCGCTTCGTAAAATAAGGTTTAGTTTCAATCAACCTGAGCGCAATAATATTATATAATTAGGTTTCCATTATACAAATAAGATATACAAGAACCACGGTAGAATCCATCGCTTGACTAGTACTCACCCATTGGTGGTGGTTCGCATTTGGTAACATCTGCAGTGAGACGTGAATAAATACACGAGAGATGTTGAAATTCAAGGGATTGTATTCAGCGCAAAGTGAACCTGTGCAGTATTAACAACTTGCAATCTTATAGACAATATACTTTAATAAGGACCCTTGCTCTACATATTAAATTATCACAATTAGATAGATAAGATTTTACGCATATGACGTTCAAAAGGATAGTAGAAAGCGGACAGTCGCTCAGACCCGATAGTCAAGCGGTAGATATATAGAAAATGAAACTTTTGTGTTGTTTTGATATCCATTTTTATACTAATCAATTGTTTGTTTTTGGATCACAATATACATGCAACTCAGATAAAGCAACGCACAACCAACGTCAATGGTCGCCGCTCAAACGCGTGCCCTTCAAATTCTTTAACCGGTCATCATCTTTTGAACTCTAAACCGAGATCAGTGAAGTGTCAGCAAGAGATAAATAAGTAAACGTTCTTGTCGTTTCACGTAATCACTCCATCGGTTGCTTGCGGAGCAGTTCCTTCAAGCGAGACAAGGAACCGCGTAAAAGACGGGATATTAAACTAGTAGGTTTGAATCTGCAAAACATAACCGAGTCATCTGAGCCTATGAAGGGATATTCAATCGTCAATAAGGCAATCGCTTGACACGCTGAAAGTTAGCTGTCAAACTGTTTTGTTGAAAATATGATTTTGCACCTACACGTGTCCGAGACCAGTTATTAAACGGTATACTGTATTCAGCAACATCTTTTATCTCGCTAAGTACTATTTGAGCTTACATAGTGTGTGCACAGTCATTCAACATGCGGTGGTTCGATATCACTCGTTCGGTAGAGTGAACAAGTTTTCTAGGCTACACTAAGAGTTTTACGGATCTCTCATGAAAATAGCTCTCATTTCCAAGGATGGGACTAAAATCCCCTAAACACGTGAAAAATAAATATGAAATGTAGGAACAGCTAGAAGGCACTTACAATATCCGTAATTGCTGCAAAGACCGCAACCGCCAGCGCAGTTGCTGCCACCACATCCACAGCCTTGATTACACGCAGATCCACAACCACATCCACAACCAGAACCGCAACCGCCGCCACACCCGCAACCGGAACCGCAGCCACAACCGCAACCTGGAATGAAAAACGAATGCATGCATGTGCACAGTTTACTCAAAATATTGTGTTTCTACAAGTCGCAATGATGAATGACCTTTTGGTACATTAGATAGTTAAATCATGGCCGAAGAATTTGTGCGCTTGCATTGACCGGCATAAAAATGAAGTCACATCAGGATCCAATACTTACCATCAGTTTTTCCGGGGAAATCTGTGGAGATTTTTCGAATGCAACAATGAAAATTCCATGAATTTATCGGTGATTTGTAACAGCAAGTCAGGCGATTGTTGGTATTTTCATTTGGATATCAATTTAGTAAATCTTAATCCGTGGTCTTCAAAAGTGATCTGTATAATCCCGTAGACATTCAACGTTTCGAAAATAATAGCCAAGATTATACTGGGTTCTTTGATTTGGAGAACACTAGCGGTCCCAGTAAGGCTGAGGTTGTATTATATCTAACGAAAACAGCACACCGGGTTCATCCATAACAGAGCTTCACCCTAAAATCCAATAGTTTACGTCACCGGTGACAGTGATGAAGATCAGTCTAACATCATTTCTTCACCTCAGTTCAACTCAACAATGTTCTTACTCAGACTATTGTGGGCTATTGTCATTTTTATAGCTGGTGTTTTTATTTGGCTTAATTTGTTCATTATGGGCTGCCATTCGACTAACAGCCTTCATACTCCCATTCCTGAAAGTCATCTAACTGGTCACTTCATCCGTCATTCGAAAAATCATCTGAGTTGTTCTATTGGATAAGCTAAGCTATTATATGATATTAATAGTTAGAGTTACAGGGGTCCTCATACAAAGGTGTTGACCAAACTCGTTCAACATCACTCTCGTTTTAGAAATCCATTTTAGTTTCCAAGGGCATACCTCTATATTCATGGCTATGGGTATAACTGTATCACTTTTGGCGGAAATATTTCAGTAAGAAGCCACAAAATTTCTTTGCGAATGATTTTGTTTGAAGAGATTGCTTACCAAGCAAGGTATCAACAAGTCCTGTGATTAGGAGCAAATGAAAATTGAACGGATTTATTCTATTCTACAGATGAGCAAATTTATCCTGCTATGTTTGCCAACGAAATGGTGGGAACCGATTTCGAGGGGAACACCCGGTAAATTTTGTTGTGCGCTACTGCTTATTTAGCGCTTTTTCGCTTATGTTATATAACTTTTGGGTTAGTGGGGTTAATATCAACTTCTAATTCTTAACTGATCAACAACTGTCACTGACCTTTGGCTTCTGATTGTCCTGATGAAGCTGTTAGATTTAAAAAGGATAATTCATAATTGCTCAGTCAAGGCTAAAATAAAGCATAAAAATGGCTTTTAAATGCGCACATATAGAATGACGACGGTGCAAAAAGGATAGTGAAATATAATCAGCTCTGGAGTACTCCGAGGTGCAGTTCTTTCCCATACTTATTTTCTACGTATATTAGTGACTTGTTTGCTTGCGCCCCTACATCTCTCTTCAAGTATGCTGACGATGTGGTCTTGTGTCACACCATCTCTGACTCTTCTGGTCTTTCACAACTTTCCGACAACTTGGATAACTTCCAACGGTTTTCCGCCACATCGAGCCTATTTCTTAATCCCTCCAAATGTTTAGAATGTCTCTTTACACTATCACGCTCTTCTGTCCCAAGTGAACCGGTATCGATTGGTTCCGAACCAGTATCCCGGGTAAACTGTATTAAATACCTGGACATTATTATTGATACTAATCTTCGCTGGACCTCTCACATGCAATACATCGTCAGTAAGCTTTGAGGACTTTCGTTTTATAACCGTAAACTTCGTCGGTTTTGTATTCCACAATCAATTATTTCCAACCTTGTGTATCAGTGTGTTTTCCTTGTTTTACTTTATTGTTCACCTGTTGTTTTTCCCAACCTCCTTAAGAAAGATTTTAATTTGCTTTGACGTGGATTGATCATCATTAGCCGTGTCTCTTCAATCCCACTAAAGGAGTTGATAACTAAGCTATGCGAACGTCATTTGAATGCATGTGAAAAGTTTGCGCATAAGATTCTCATCGACTGCACACATCCGCTACATGCTGACCTAACTTCCTGTTGTTCCCATCCCTCAACTAGATCACAATATCTTTGTGTTCCCCTCTAGAATAAACATTTATCGTAACTCCACAGTATCCTTATTAGCAGGTATTTTTGTTAACAAAGAACAGGTTTTCACAAAGTTTGTCAACAGTTTTGGAACTTGAATCTCTTGTTTCATTGTTATTTTCATTTTCTCCCTTGCTCTCAACTGTATATTTTTAACTGAAATGTGGGCTTCATGCTTGCAGAAGTTCATACAATACAATACAATACAACAGATCAAATGGACGGATGTCAAGTAGAAACGAAAGTCCAAGTGAAATACCAATTACTCACTTCCTAATGCCCGAGCCAAAGCTGTAAACACAAAAGCAGAATTTTCAATATGTTCACTAGCAACTTCATCGTTGAATTTGTGAACGTTTCAATTTTACAAAAGAGGATAAATTCATTCTCGTATATTGGATTCATAGACTGAGTAAATGTATTGTGGTCATACTGGCCACCACCAATTATTTGAGAACAAATCGATATGTAATTAGGGATTTGTTCCTAATCTGGAAAATTGCTTTTAAACACTCCCCTGTCAGAGCAATTCGTTTTGGGTTTATAATGCCACGCATACCCTATTGGTATGGCCATTTTGATAAAATTGTAACAATCCGATGGATTTAAATCCCCGGATTTATGTCATTAGATTTTATCGTTTTACTGTCTTCTACTGGTGTTACTTTCCAGATTTAAGTATCACAACTTATTCGAGAGATCATACAATCATAAAATAAATGGTAAGGCTATACTAAACTAATTGGAAAGCAAAAGCACCCCGAATTTGGTTCTGAAGAAAAACATTTTCAACAGACTTACCGCCAAATCCACCATCACAAGAGCATTGGCCGTCTAGATAAAAAAATACAAATCATCAGATCTATTCTACCCATTTGTAATACCACAACAATTCAGGACTTGAAAAATAAGTCACAAAACAGTATCATGTAATCGCACATTTCAAAATCTCAATCATGCATGAATCTCTATACAAATGGACAGATGGTACATTGATTGTTTGCCCAAGTTTTTAATTCAAACCAAGGTGGTAAATCTTACCTGTACCAATAAAAGCTAAGTAAACTAGAAACGCTGTGATTAACAGCATCTTCGCGAACGATGTTTCAATGCTACTAAGAAATGGTCATTTATAGATGACCTTTTATCTCTGTCCGTCATTCACCAAATCGATAAACTTCCATCGAATTCCAATTGGTCATCGATTGTGAGATGTCCGGCGAGAAGTGAAGCAAACTCTAGATATGCTGCTTCGTTGAATTCTTACTAGCACCTGATAGGTGCGTTTTGTGCTCTTGCCAGTAACCAGTTCATCACTATACTGGGGTCATTGGAACAAAGTGGTATGGATCAGGAGTGCACTGAAATCACGAAAGTGCTATATGAAAAGCTTTGTTCTTTCACCAACTTTACAGTGGCTCCATAAAACTAAAGAGAAATACAAGCAAAACTGAGTATACTGCATTGTACGCTCTGTACAGATACACTCAAGTAAATTGCCAACTCAGATAAACAGGCAAAAAAGAGCTGGATATTTGAACAGTAAAAAGTTAATAATTAAGAATCATTATTCTATCCAACTGAATTATAAAGCAGTCTAACAAACTTCGTCTGAAGCTTTGCCAACTTCAGCGGGTGTCCAATATGAAACACCACATAAAACATAACAATATGATGAAGATGAACTTATCTACTCGGTCAAAGTTAAAACAGGCCGTAATTTTGGAACACATTTAGCAAAAGTTAGCAGTCACTGGTGCCTTAGGTGATATATTCCAAGCATAACAGTTTCCATGCCCTGAGCTGTCAGTCCAAGCAAGGATAGGGTAACACTATGTAGTTTGTGTGATCAACGAATTACTGTCTACTATTAATTAACTGCACCTTCGACATTCCAGATAACAGTTGAGTGTTGGATATTGTTTACTTGAGTGGTATAACGCTTCAATTTCTCCCTTATACTTATTAGATTCCTGGAACGTAATCGTCCTAAAAGTGGGAGAAACCACCTTTCAAACTTATTTCAGAAAAAGAGATTGCTATTATGGTAGTAACTACTTTGGACGATATGATGTTGACCTCTTCTAGACAGGTTGTTAGAGAGTTAACAAGACCAGATACTTTTCTAAGTTTCATGGATTGTTTGATTCCAAAATGGCTAATGAAACGAAGGTACAACAACTGCCTGAATCAAGGTACATATGCACAAAGCAAAGACGATCATTCAAACTGACCACATAAGGCAGTGGGCGAACGGAGCGCTTCCCCTTCCCTTCTCCTCAGGCGAATCAAAATGAACAAGCACGGACTCAGTTATCTGACATCGGGGTGCAATAAAGCTGGCTCGACTCTGGTGACATGCCGCTTGTTCTGCTGTTGCCAGATGCCACGATGCCAAGTTCAACAGTGTCCCTACACTTGATCCATCCAAGGAATATCGTTGGTCTTTTTAAAACTGATGAATTCATTCGTGACATGTTCAGGAAACAGTTACTTCATCAGCAATCATTGTATAGATACAATACTTTCAGTAGATCACTCCACCGTCGGCGTCGGTAGAGTGATTAGGACAATCATATCAAACGTTTGTAGGTCAGGCGCTCAAAATCTGCCACTGTTTTCAATATTTTACAGGTTTTACCTCCTCGGAAGGTCCTTGATTATTACATTCTTCATATTTATAATGAACTATGAAACCGTAAGCTCAGAAAGTAAAAAAGATATTGTATCACTCTAACATCAAGATATACATTTATATTTACGTTTTAGGTTGAAACTTTGTTTTTAACCCATAACTTCGGCAAAAATAACTTATATTTTCTTATTTTACTGCGGCTTTTAACTTCCCAATAGTTAAACTTCTTCCCATAGGAATTCTTATTTGCAGCGCTGGGGCTTCCCCCTGGTGAGATAAAAAATTACTGGTAGACTACCGTGCTTGAAAAGTGAGACCAAACACTCAAGTCAAGCCGAGTTAAGTTAAGCTTTGTATACCAGATATGATGAATTTTTAGCTCTTCCGACAAGATACAGTGACGAAAATATTACGCAATGAAAAAGCAATTTTACATTTCCTAAATGAAAAACAATTGGATGGGATAAAACTCTAATGTGACAGATCATTTCAAGTCTGTAATGATATTTTCTCGGTTTACTAAGATCCGAACAAAATAATAAGGGATCATGTTGTTTTGGTTTGTGGTGGTAAGTGCACAAAGAATCCTAAATTTGGAACACCTATTCGGCTGAGTCACCGACTTATTGAGATCGGCATGCAAGCAATGCCCTTCGTTGGACCGTATGTGGCTGATAAACCTGTCATGTGAATCAAAGTGCTCGCTCACAATGAACTCAACCAAAACAGTCTTTGAAATGGCACTCCAACGGGAAAGAATATTTTATGAGACCTGGAAAAGAGAATAAAGTCTTCCTCCTTCAGACTGGAAAGAAATACCTAGGAACAGCAAAACCAGTGTTAAAGAATGTCGGCGGTCACAAATTTAAGAAGTATATACAGAGAAACGCCAAGCTTTTTAGGCATAAAAGCGTAGAATGATAGTTTACGAACCCTTATGTAAATCTTTTCAACATGCTTGGACCAAGAAAGGCTATGTGATAAAGTAACTCGTCAGCTTTGGGAATGATATCACTATTAACAGCAAGTTCAGGCTGGTTGCGTAAACGGATTTGATAATGAGTGCCTATTTTAGGACTTAAAGGAACACATTTATTGAAACCGAGCATCAAAAATCGAGGAGTAGATTAACTAAAAATTGGATTTAAAAAATCTTGAAGTTGACGGAAGCAGTCAGTATCTGTCGAGGGACAACTAACCACTACTTCATCAGCATACTTACAGGCGATAAAGTTGGGAGGGATGGGAAGGTCGTTAATGCCCAGTGCAAAAAGAAATGGATACAAAATAGCTCCCCCAAAACCTCCAGAGTTAACTTTTAGCAGGAAAGAAGAGTTACCGTTACACAAAGTGATTTGCGTCCTATGTGAGAAGTATTTGATGAGTACATTCAATACCTCAGGTGCCAGGCAGCAATCCGAAAGACGATGAATAAGAATGCCGCGGTAAGTTCATCCGAAAGCACTTGTCCCACTAAACAAATTTAAGCCAGAGCTGAACCATTAGGACTCGAATCTCTCATTCCCTGTTTGTTATTGTTGTTAGTCATATTTATTATTATTTGATGGCATGATTAAGAATAACTGAAAACGAGCTTGTTCGTCACGCTCTTATTGTTCTCAGTGATCCGAAAGCATTGACATAACCAAGGAAAATTAAATAGACGATGCCAGACCCTTTATCTAATAAAGATGAAACGGAGTGAACAACGTGAGTAACAGCGTCTATAGTAGAAAGCGCTTTGTAGACAAATTGAATGGGGTCGGTATTTGGAAGATCCTTTTGAGGGAATGGTGTTATCTGGCCAGATCTCTAGCAACTGGACATATACAAACTGAACAACTCAAAAATAGGAGAGGCAAGTTTTTCTGTGCACTTTTAACAGGCAAAGGGATAATGAAACAATGTCATGTTTCTTATTAGATTCAAGGAACTTCAGTACCTTCAAAACTTCCACCAGGGTGACAGAGTGGTTCTCCCCAGTAGATGCAAATGAAGGTGGCTTTGGGTGATCCACAAAGCTGCTTCATGGGAGACCGTACATCATGACGATTCTTGCTTTTTATAAAAGTTTCATTATACATCTGATTTAGGTACAATATTTCTATGTTCATTTATTATGATAGATGTTTAATAACACTGCGCATTCCAGCCCTGTAAGCCTTTTCTTTGTCACAATGAAGAGAATCTCTCAGTCCGAATTTATGAAGTCTCAACTGGGCAACACAGATAATAGCAAAAATTAGGATAACATGTAAGATGCTCACAAATGGAAAAGTTATCAACATTGTAAAATACAGTGAAATTGATAGACGAAACCATATATATCCGGATAATTTTTCCAGGAGTGCAACGTCTCCTTCTAATGGTTCTAGATGTGAAACGGTTCACTTGGTGATAAAAATATTCACTGTAAATTTTGGAATGCAAAAAATTGAGCAAAGGTCTGAGCTACCTACGGAAGCCCGCTTTTCAATGAAAAATATTTCTGGGTCGTTAAGGAAGATCCCATCAAGTTGAACACCGAGCCGGGTAGATTTGTCATGCCTAGAGCTCTTAGGAAAGAGGTAATAAAATGATTGAAATCGCCAGCATCAATGCATGGAGACTGGTCAAAACTTGTTGCAAGTTGTGAGGAGAAAGAGTCGACAATCAAATGAATATCAGAGGCCGGCTTAACGGGAGCAGTGTAAATATGACGAATGTGATGAATCCTGTAATCTTTGCTTGATATAGGTGAATATTTCATCGTTCAACTGATGTGATCTGTCTGATACTTCTCTGACGTATACCCGAACCTGTTGCCTGTTCTTCTGACACGCTGGGGGTCTAAATTGAATTTAGAGACTAAACAGGGCTCATAGTTCAAAAATGACATTTTCAAAAGTTATAAATTTAAAAATAGAAATTAAACTGTTCCTTTTGGGTGAATAAGTAATAGCACTCATCATAATTTATTAGGTATTGTATTACTGACTATCAAGAAACACCATTCCTTAATTGCATAACTCAACGCTAATAAAACGTTGATCATGACAATTATAAACATGGTTGATCTTGCAGCATCAAAACTGCATGAAATAAAGCTACCATGATTATGGGGAAGGAAGTTTTGATTATTTTTACGACCATGGCAACAGGTTCAAGTGTGAACTAGTTTGTATTTTGCCGGCTCCTTTGT